AAGGGTAGTGAGAAAGGCTAGCCGAAGGGTAGTGAGAAAGGCTAGCCGAAGGGTAGTGAGAAAGACTAGCTGAAGGGTAGTGAGAAGGCTAGCTGAAGGGTAGTGAGAAGAGCTAGCTGAAGGGTAGTGAGAAGGCTAGCTGAAGGGTAGTGAGAAGGCTAGCTGAAGGGTACTGTATTATTATAGCTCTTACTATAGTTGGGACAAGATATATGATATCGAAAAGTGCATCATACTAATATTTAATCATAATCAACATGTATTTAATTCTATCATTCATTAATTATTCATTTGAAAGTAAGCCTACTATGATTTTTTTGATGATGGTGTTATTATGTCATTAATTTGTATCACTTGATCGCTCATTTCAAGATGATATTTTGAATAATATGTACTGATTGGTTCTATTCAGTCACATGACGCTATTTTTTTAATGTGCAGGCAATTTTCTAAAAACTAAGTTTAACACTGTGTATCACCCTTAGAATAATAATATTATTTTTCAATACAGACATGCACTGTTTAGCAGAAAGCACATGACATATTATTTCACAAATTACAAATGAATCTTTTGTGTGCACCCTCAAACATTATAAAAATGATTTCATTTGGAGAGCCAGCGAAAATTTCTTTGAAGTTTTATATACGCCACAGAGACTCATCAGTGAAATGTTGTTTTCATGAATGCCATAAAATTATCAACATTTAGCAATAAATATACAATATTTGATACCAGTTTTATGTGTCAAGAAAATATATATTATATGGAAGGAATTGTTGACCTCTCTTGACTTGCAGTTTAGAGAGTTAAATATCAAGGATATTAGGGAACTGATATTTCCTGCAGCGTGATACGTAAGGACAGCACCTATATTTTATGCAGTCATGAATAGCGGATAATGCATGTCAGTTCATAGGGTTTGAAATTTACAAAGGCAATTGACTTAATGCCACACCTACTGACTAGCTTGGCGTCCACAAACACAAGCCCATGAATTATCTTTCCTGCTCAGATCTGATTCCCTGTCAGAAACACGATACATGAACAATCTTTTTCTGTAATTTTAAAACAATGTTAAATCCTAGTTTAATAATTACATACTAGGGGTAATATTCGCTGGGTTTAAAGTTCATGGGATTGTGAAAGAAACAAAACATTCTATTGTTGTATGTGAATATTTACTAGATTTTAATATAGCGCATTTACCTGCCAAGATCTGACAAGTGGGTCACTCACCACCCAACAATTGCTATTGATCCTTACTGCCGAGAATAATAGTCTCCTTAACACCATCTTTCATACAAACATTTAGTAGAAAAATCAGTCGAGAGATTAAATTTGACCTTTTATTCAATAACGTTCACCAATTCATATGTTAATATGGATTAAAATTTCACAAAAGTGTCATAATTTGTGAACGCATTAATTGGATTTTTTACTAGAGAATTATTCACACATTGACTTTATTTGAGGTGATAATCAATACCACATCTGACATTTCACATCTATACTGAATGGACAAAATACTTATTAGTTTTAAATTCAATACAGGATACACTTTAATGATATTTACTTAATGCACTTTGTGTACAAAGCTGAGAAAGTCAAACCTAAGCTATGGGTTCATAGTCTCAATTAGCAACTCCTTTAATGATAGTTTGTATAATATTGAATTACTATAATTAAACAAATTTGGCTTAGCATTCTGTTTTTACACATAGCAGTCTTATATTTATATTTAATAAGTTCATGTCAGTGATGACAATGAAAAAGACCATGCACATCCTATTTACTATTGGCCTATATATAAGTATGGTTAAAAACAAATTTAAAAATTGAGTGACATGGTTCATTTATTATTTGTAACCCATTTCACCTAGCTCTTCTGAAGGATGTTATGTGTTAATAAAATTACAATACACGGCAACAATGTGGTCTATAATTCCACCAATTGATATCGTCCAAAAGAGTGATCGATGATACAACTTCAGATAACAGATTTTTAGGACACAAATGGAAGCAACAGAATGAAATTAGAACAAAATTGTAATCACCTATCCCATAAGGCCAAAAAAACAAAAACTTATGTTGCCCTCAAGTCAGATTTTTTTTTTTTTATAAACTAGTGAAAACTAAGGGTATCGTAAATAGCCGAGGTATATGGGAATCAATCAAACGCATGCTAGATATTAAACACAAAAATCAAAGTGTTTCTTTCAGTCTT